TGGATGACGGTCAAAGACGAGGCTGTTCTGCAGAGTTTGGCGACGCACGGCCAGACCAGTGTGGCGATTTGCATAGACGAAGAACTCCCATCCTTGACATGAGAAGAGGTCAGCACTAACGGACTCGAATGGGAGAGTGGGGCGACGATCTTCGGTAACACGGAGGGGCTCCTTGCATTGGGATGGGGCATGCAGCCGGCACATCTCACAACTGCGGACTGTGTTAGCGATGTCGTTAGAGATGTTCGGCCAGAACACAATTTGGCGGGCACGACGTTGAGCAAGGGAGAGACCTTGGTGTGCTGCATGCAGGTCCTGGAGGACACGAGAACGTAAGGCACGAGGAACGACAACACGTTGTCCCTTAAGGACGAGATCACTGTCCACAGAGAGGTGCTCACGGACTGTCAAGTACGGCTTGACAGCAGGGTCGGCATTAGCCGAATTGGTCGGGAAACCATGACGAACGGCGTGCACGAGTGCTTGATAATCAGGGTCAGCTCTCGCAGCTTCTAGTAGCTCGCTGAAGCGGAGATCGACGCTACGGCCGTCATCATCTTGGCGTAGGCACGCGCGAACAGCAGGCGCACTGAGGGCTTGATTCTCGCCAAATTCTTCATCACTGTGAGGCGTGTCAACTGGATGCCGAGAGAGAGCGTCGGCAAAGGCATTGTCGGTGCCTTTGCGCCAAATAGGCAACGAACTGGTACGGGCGCAGCTTCAGTGTAAAACGTTACAATCGGAGGTTGTCGATCTGGTCAAGAAAATACGAGTTCAGGATCGGATTAGTGGGCGATGATCAGTACAGAGCTTAAACGGTGCACCGGACAAGAACAGGGAACACTTGTGTACGGCCCATACAGCAGCTAGCAGCTCAAGCTCGATGACTGCGTAGCGTGTTTCAGCGCCCGAGAGAAAGCGACTGCCACATTGAAGCAGGCGCCACTTGTCGTCTTGGAGTTGCCAAAGTGCGTACCCGAAGCAGTTCAGGACTGAAGCGTCTGTCTCAAGCCGGAGTGCATTGCCGTGATGAAAGAACAATAGCACAGATGGGGAGACGAGTTATGCCTTTGTAGCATCGAATGCTGCAGTGTGGACGGAGTCCCAGACAAACTCATTGGATGTCTTCAGGAGCGGTCGGAGAGGTGCCGCCAGCTCGGCGAGTCGTGTCGTGAAGACACTGCACTGGTTGACCAGGCCGAGAAAGGAACGCAAGTCGGTGCGATTGCTGGGCGTGCTGAAGTTCTGATTGGCTGACGTCTTGGCGGGGTCCAATGTGTAGCCTTCAGAGGACACGGTGAAGCCACAGAATTCAACAGTGCTGGCAGCTAAGGTGAACTTCTTGGCGCTGAGAGTAATACCATGATCACGGGCTCTCTGCAAGACTGCACGGACGTGGTCGAGGTGGGCATCGAAGCTTACATCGTGAACGAGACCATCGTCATCGATTTTGAAGAAGTTCTGCAAGCCATCGAATGCAGAGTCAGTCCGACCATTGAATTCATCACCGGCCGACACCAGGCCTTGCGGGTTGCGGCAGAATCTGTATCGGCCCTATGGGGTGATGAACGTGGTTAGGGCTTTGGCGTCTTCAGTCAATGGGATTTGCCCATAGCCATGACGTGCGTCAAGGGTGGTGAAGTACGTGGCAGGACCCATGGCAGAGAGACATTCTCGGGCGTTGCGCATAGGGTGTGTTGGCCGTTTGACTTGGCGGTTCAGTGTCTGCAGGTCGACAGTCAGCCGCTTCTCAGGTGACCCCTTCTTGTCAACAATGACTATTGGGTGGCACCAATCAGACGGGTCGGACACAGTTTCAACGATGCCTTCAGATACCATGACGTCATCCAGCTGAGCTTTGACCTTCTCACGGTAAGCATAGGCGATCGGACGGGCAGTGTACACACGTTGAGGCTTGGCATCGGGTTCAAGAACGATGTCCATCGGTGGCCCAGACATTGGTTTGAGAGTACTGTCGTCAAATACGTCGAAAAACTCCTCTAGCAATTGTGATCGGATTTTCACGAGGTCTGTCGGGCTGGGCGTACGAGGGGCACTCACGCGTGCGACTTGCTGGGGCCAGCCGGGCGGCAAGAAATTTAGGCCTCTCAATGAGGAACGTGACAGCAGTGCGTCGTCAAGACCGTCAAACACACGGAGCACGCTGTCATGTGATTGGTCATTGACCTGGAGAGTGACACAAATCTTGCCGACAGTGACGAGCTTGTCGCTACTCGCTGTCCGTACGTCGTCAAAGTCACTGTCGAGATTCTCAACGAATCCGCCGAGCAGGGAAAGTTGCCGGATGCCAATTACATCGATGTCACTCCCACTTTACGGGATCCATGGAAGCTGCACTGGCTGTGGTTCAGTGCATAACTGTGTTGCAAGTCGAACAGTGTCGGAGCCGAACTCCTGCGCGCGCCGGACCTTCAACATGCCAATCTGAGTTTGCCTCTTGCGTTTCGGGCACATTAATTGGAAATGGCCAGCAATTTCGCATCCGTTGCACAATTTCCCAAAGGCTGGGCATGCAGACTTGGTGTGCTGGGAACGACCACAGTTTGGACATTTAACTGGTGCTTTTGGAGCAGCAGAGGACTTAGTAAAGGAGTTAGAGGCAGACTGGCGCTTCCGCTGCTGGTACGCGGACTTCCGTGCGGCGTTGACCTGCGCCTGCCCAGGAATGTTGTGGGAGATGTCAGACGCTGCTTCCTCCGCACGGCAAAGTTTGATGGCTGCATCCAAGGTCAGGTCTGGTGTGGCAAGCAATTTGTGTTGGGTTTCCTCGTTGGATATTCCGACGACAATGCGGTCACGCAGTACATCATTTGTGACTTGTTGTAGGATGGACTTGCACCCTCCGCATACTCGGCCCGAACATGTAGTGCATAGTGACAAGTCCGGAAAATCACATGCATTATACGGCTCTCTCAGGGAGGTGTAAAACGCGTCAAACGCCTCGGCTCTGGACTGCTTACGATTGTAAAATGCTAGTCTGTCCAACAAAGGATTACCTAACCGTCGCAAATACTTGTTGACTGCGGCGATGATAACATGAACATCGTCGTTTGCACAGATGGGGATGATACCCACGCGGACAAAGCGGCGGAGGTCCTCATCAAACGCTTGACGAAGGGCGCTCACTCTGGTGTTCAAGCCATGGAAAGCAAGTTTCTGGCACGCAGAATAGTCGTCCCAGGCTTCCTTCCATGTGGCGAAATCAGCCAAAGACGCAGTGGAAAGCAACATTGGACGATGCACAGACAGCGGCTTTGGTGTTGGTGCGGATGTCGGTGTCGAGCGTGTAGACGTTGGGGCTTAGCCATGTAAACCCGCAGGCTGTTGTTGTTGATTTTGGAGACTTTTCAAAGTGTCTTGAAGCAGTTTGGCCAACTGTTGTTCTCTGGCCTCAGCAGCTTGCATCTGCGCTGCGACTAACTTAGTGAGAGCAGCAACTCCAGAGAGTTCGGCTTGGCCATCGCCATCCGACATTTCGAAACAGGTTGGACACGAACAAAATGCAAATTTGAAAATTCCGGCCTGCGCGCAACACAACGAGGTACAAACACAGGGTACAAAAAACCAACAAAACAGGTACTAGAATATGTTCACTGCGCCATGTGATGTCTGCCTTCACAGTCATGCACAAACACTCAAGGACACAGGTTGAGGTTTGGAATAATACAATTAGATACAAGTGTGAAGAAGAAAGGTAAGAACAGACAACCAGGTCAAGCCAAGCATGCACTTCAGGCGACTAGTCCAAGATGGCGCATGCTGGTTGTGACGTAATACACAGGCAAAATATATGACGTAATAGTCACGTGATAAGACATGAGCATCATATCACATCAGGCGTTTGGGGATTTTTTTAATGCGAGGAGAGTTTCACCCCGGCGTTATTATTTTTGAATTGTATCACCCATGCTTTGTGTTTGCAATCATTTAGTATAAATCTGTAATGTACGTGCTTGTAAAAAAACGGCGAGGAGACAATAGTTTGATAATGGCCACCAGTAAAACAAGCTAAATCCACATCTGTGTATATGTTATTCGTCCAAGGTAAAACGTTAGAGACGATGTGCGATAAAGCGATGAAAATAGAAAGAAATAGCGTCCTGATTTGTGCGTGAAGTGTGTGGGTTACAGTGAGGGCTGCGTCCCACCCGCCTGTGTGGATTCACGGGAAGTGCTTCTTACCAAGCCTGAGGAAAAGGTGGACCGGTCTCTGCTGGGATTACGACTACACTATGGCTCAGTGGTTAGAGCATCGCTAGCTACAAACAAGGGTCCCTGGTTCGTTCCCTGGTGTGGACGGTCAATTTTTACTTCAGACAGTTCACGTTTGGGTATTTCATACAAATCGTTTTAATTTGCATAAACAAAGTACACGCAAATGTCGATTCAGCTTGACTTGATTGCTGATATGTACTTTTCGTACACCTTATAGGCTATTCATACTACGTTACAATACGCGTCACGTTTTGAAATACGACGTAGTGGCAGACGTCGTTTTCGAGCAGGTGCATTCACACAGCCACGCACACGCTGCTCGTACAGCTGTGTGTACAGCTTCTTTTGGACACAAACTGCTGGGAACGACAGAACCAAACTCGGTACAGGGGTCTGGATACGTCGTTTACATTTTCGTATCAGGGGTACGATTTTCCAGCCACGTTCTATGTTGTCATGGCTATCCGGACGAAAACGTCACGTACGCCACATTTTGGGCGTAGTGTGAATGGCCCATCACTCATAGTTCCGACACTAATCACAGACGATAGATACCCTTGGCAGCATAAGTTTGTATAAATATTATTGATACATTTCTTCGTAGGCCATGCCATTTGAGCAACACACATAATGCGATCAGGATACACAGTCCGCGTATTAAACTAATACAAGTCGGACATGAAAAGTACGATTTAACTGGATGATGTTTGTTGATCGTGCCTGGTATAAAAGGTCGCATGGGACCTTGATAACAGTGTGTTTTTTGTTCGTTAAGCATCATCTGCTCTTTTTGCTGGTCACGGGCTGAATTGTTGAACTGAAGTTTAAAGATGGAAGCCCAACGGAAGCCATCCAGTACTCGACTATGTAAGTATGTCAACACCGAGCGAGGATGCAAGTTCGGAGAAAGATGTCACTTTCGCCATCCAAGAGGTACGTTTAACTTTGTCGGAAAATCAAAGTAACTCATTTTATTCAGGGGGAATTTGTATTTGAATGATGATCCCAAGGGTTTCTTTCTAACTGAGGTCAGAAGCGAATAGCAATTAAAAAATGAGTTAGGATCGCAAACCAGCAGACAAAGAGGAGGCAATGAACCAATTCGACCAGATTGATGATTGAAATTGCATGTGTTACCTCTTGTACTACGATGGCATTTTAACGAATTATATTGAAGCCTTTTTTTGGGATTAATAAAATTATTATAGCACTGATTAGTTCTCGATCGACAGTTGGGAATTTCAAAACTTTTCACGATATTTCACAATATTTCACGTTCTAAATTTTCACATATCCAGATCGACGGTTGGGAATTGTTAATTTCAAAACTTCGATTACTTTTCACGTTCTAAATTGTCTCATATCCAGGAGATACTTTTACGCAGAAGGAATCCCGAGCTGTGCAACCTCGCTACAAAATTGCGCCGCAGCACCATACAAGCCGCCGCCCTACCACGAGGAATTCTCGGCAGCTTCACCGAAGAGACAGAAGAGTTCAACATCGACATCAGGAAGCTGAGCCAAAAGTGGAAGTGGTAGAGAACCGGGATGAAGACACGGTGGATCCCCAAAATCTCACGCGGGAACAGTACACGCTTGCGCAACAGCACCCGTTTCCGTTTGGCTTTCCACCGCCAGTACCAAATTGGTCCGTGCTAAGCCATGAAGAGCCGATGGATGAGTCTCCATAGTATTGTCCAGCCAAGTTGTGCAACCTTCATTCGTGTGTTCGTCGAAACATTGTGTTTCAGGGTTAAGGACCCATCGGTACATATTGTCCGTAAACCTTAATTTTGTTCTCAGTCTTGGTCAGTCTTGGTTGATTATAGAATTTAGTTTTCGTAATTCTCAACGACACTGCGTGTCCTGTAAACTTTCATTTTGTACTCAGTCTTGGTTACATCAAAATAAAATTAGTTTTCGTATTCTCTACTTTCGGTGGCTTGGAGTGGTTCGGGTTTGTGAATTGTAAGCGGGCATCTCATGTATTGCCGACTGCCGCGTTTAAAATTAACCACATATCAATCCCACAACTGTGCACAGCACGGACCATTAGAAGGATCCGTTTTGACGGTTTGTGATTTATGCTGCATGTACAATGGGAAAAGGGTATCCAGCGGTGAGCGATTCAGTGCCCAAAAATAGATATTATGTAGCTTCGAGGTTGAAAGACCACCAATTCTCTATATGAGAATGCTCCTGATCCTGAGGTGCGTGATACTTTGCCGGAAAATCTAAAGAACTTATTTCATTGCAACCACCTTCCACTACATATTATAAAATTTTAGTTTTCGTAATTATCAACGGCACTTAGTTCTCAGTCTTGGTTGAATAAAATTAAAATAAGTTACTCTAGTTTCGGTAGGTTTGAGTGGTTCGGATTTGTGGGGTAATTGTAAGCGGGCATCTTATGTGTTGCCGTCTGTCTGCGTATAAAATTAACCACATATCCAGCCCACAATTGTGCCCAGCACGGACCATTGAATGGAAAGATGTAAACTAAAACAAACTTTGGTTTTGCCGATTAGTGAATTCTGCTGCATGTACAATGGGGAAAAGGTATCCAGCGGTGAGCGATGCATTGCCCAAAAATAGATATATTTTACCCTCGAGGTTGAAAGACCACCAATTCTCTATATGAGGATGATCCTGATCCTGAGGTGTGTGAAATTTTGCCGGAAAATCTAAATTACTTATTGACACACAAAATAGAGTGGAAAGGCTGTGTTAGCTATAACGTGAAGTTACACGCATCGGAGCGATCATCAGACAGCAGCATTCACTATCGAATTCTCTACATATCTCCGCGAAGACCACGCGTCATTTCCACATCAGAAACAGGAAGCCGGACAAAAAAGAATATGTGGTAGAAGAGAACCGGGATGAACATAAGGTAGACCCAGCGAATCTCACGCGCTGACAGTACGCTCAAGCGCAACAATATCCGTTTCCGCTTTCCACAGCCTGTACCGAAGTGGTCCGTGCTCAGCCATGAAGAGCCGATGGATGAGTCTCCCTAGTATAGTCAGGCCATGTAGTGCTACTCTCTTTCGTAATGTAAACAAAGTTAACTACATATTCAAATAGCCAACAGTTCTGCACAGCACAGACCATTGGATGGGCCGATATCAGCTGTTCGCCTTCTTTTTGCCGGTTTGTGGATTATGCTGCAGGTAAAAAGCCGAATTCAGCTGTGTGCGACCTAGTGGTTTAAAACAGACACAGGTTTGCGGCTGTCAATGAGCATGGGAAGCCTCTTGATTGGAGGTTGGAGAAAGATGTGCATCTTTGATCATGTTTGAGTGCTAACTGCAACCTATAAGACAATACTGTATTCATGCAATTTAAAACGCCAGAGACAATAAAATAAAACGATGAAAATATCAAGAATTAGTGTAGAGAAAAATTGGATCCAGACAACACTCATCAGTAATCGTCGTTGTCGTCGTCGTTATAGTTAAGGACACTAAAACAAAATTGAACTATTATAGAAATCCTAAGTTAGACAAATAGCACCACGAACAACGGCAGTGATATTTACAAGTGTGAATTTTAGAATGTGAGAGCGATCACGATTGTGGTTGTATGAGGAGCGCACGAAAAGGTTTGAAAAAGATGTGTATTTTGATTGAAATCTATGATGTAATTGCAATGACAAATTGCAATGAAAGTTACCATATACTATGTTTAGCAATCATATATCATGGATATCTTGAGTAAAAACAGATGAAACCGAAGTGCTGTATGAGCAACTGCGGACCCCTTTAATTGTATAGTCAGACAGTGCGACCAATATGAACAAAAATGACCCGAGGCGTGATAGCACACCTATTTTCATTTTTTTGTGCCAATGGTTACGAATGTGAAATATTAAGACTCGGGTGGCCACCCAGTTGTTGATTGATAAGAATTAATACGAACCAAAACACAGGTTATGCAACAATGTCCAATAACATCACTATTTACTTTACAATCAGCTCATGCGATAACATTGCACGACACTGACCAACGGTACTGATGTTCTACACGTCACCGTCAACCAGCTGTAGCACATCTTGAATGAGCAATCCAACAGCCTTCCAAATTGGCACTTACCTTACCCACTTTGGAATTAGCACCAGTATCCATTTGATTCCATGTGCATTCCACGTTGAAAGGCCGTTGGTTAGCGCTATCCAGCCGTGCTCAAGTAGACTTTCAGGCCGTGGAATGTGTCAATACTACTTGTCAGCTGTGTGCTAGATTGTGCACGTTTGACTGTTAAAAACTGGTTTAGTTGGTGAACTGGATCGCATAACTTGTGCCCACAGTTTCAGCCTTACAACATACATCTAGCTCATTATCCACATACCCTTTGCGTCTCTGTTGCTCGTGACATGCTATCAAACCTGCTCTTTCTTCACGGAGTTGTTGCCGTTTCTTTTACTTCTCTTTCCTGTTCTGTTCTAATCCTTGCCTATTCTATCGCCTTGGATTAGCTTTCACCAAATCTCTTCAGATTGGCCGGTGTTTTGCCCTTGAGTCATGAGATTTTGTAATAAACAGATAAAAGCCCACGCACACACATGCGCCATCGCACCGATCTCCAGGCGCAATAGTTAGCTATATGTATACTCTACAGATACGCCTCACACCAGGAAAATTTTGAGCAGAGGCTGTCCGCTGAGCTGAATACCAGCTAGACAGGCAAACCCGCGGCAGAACAAAAAAACTAACCACAAACACTCGATCAATGCGGCGTCAAAACTCAAATCCATTGAGAATTATAAAACCGAGAATAAAGAAGACGAAGGTGAGCCCTAGCATTCGTTGACAAAGCGGCAGTTTACGGGAATACGTTAGTACCGTTTTCATGACTATATCTCTCCATCACAGCGACTTGCACGTTGTGGAGCCCGTCACTGTGAAACGGCGAGAGATGACAGCTATTGACGACGAGGGGGTTGCCTTTCGGGGATTGCCACCCGTCCATCTACAAGTGCGTAACACCTCCATCACAGCACAATCATGGTGTAGACACCACGAATCAGTACCACAGCATTCCTTGGCTTTAGCTAATCCGGTTCTGGAATACAGACAAAGTCCGGATAAGACTGATCTACAGAGTAGGCAACGGCTGCACAGCCGAGAGTGTAACCTACTGTCATGTCTATCCTTGCCCTGGTATCCTGCCCTGGGCGGTATGCGCTCTTCTTCAGTCAAATGTGAGCGCGCTGAAAACCCAGGTAATGCCTCGTAGAGTAACCACACAAACATAAAGCTACCGAACCTAGAGAAGAATAAAAAAATATTTTTTAAGTCAATACATAGAACAAAAGGAAGGTTTTCGACAACGAGGTGCCGAAGGGTCCTTCACCCCAAAAAATGGACAACAACACCAGAAGAGATGGCACTATATGGCCTGAACATACGTGCCACGCCTGTATTGGTGGCGGGAAGCCGAGCCTAAAATGGTTACTGCTGTTGCTGTGAATTCTGGCTTGTGTTATCGTGTTTCTGTTGCATGCTCTTGTTGTGTGTGCTGCTCCTGTGGACGATGCATTAGTTGGTTCTGCTGCCGTGCATTATCAGAGCGAGGCTGCACAGCTCGGGCTCGCTTGGGCTCCGCCTTACAAACGTCTCCTGGAGATACTGGGCGAGGAGACAAAAATTTGACAAAAACACGAGAAGAGATGGCACTATAAAGACAATACTCTGACATTCGGTTATCATGACTCATCCATAGGCTCTTCGTAGCTGAGCACGTGCCACGCCGATACCGGTGGCGAGAAGCCGAACTCAAATGGATGCTGCTGGTGCTGTGAAAATAGGTCTTGCAGATGCTTGAGATCTGTCGGTTCTGGCTTGTGATGTCGTGTTTCTGCTGCAAGATTTTGTTGTGTGTGCTGCTGCTGTGGATGATGCATTGAGTGGTTCTGCTGCAGTGCATGCTCGCAGCGAGGCTGCACAGCTCGGGCTCGCTTGGCCTCAGGCTTATAATCGTCTCCTGGAGGAAATAGTCGAGGAGACAAGAAACGTTAGTATTGAAATGTTGTCATCAGTAGTCTCAACGTCACAGGGGTCGGGAGATACGAGTCAAATGTATAGAATCAGAATGTGTACAAAAAAACTAACACAAGGTTTCATAATACACATCACGGCACGTAGGATTACACATCGAATGCTTAAAATTAAACTTTGCAGACTGAAAGGGATGAAAAACGTCATCAGCATGTGTACAATGATCGTACTTACCCTCGTCCCCACTCTCTGGCCCGGTATCCCTAGCGTACCACCTTATCTTTCGTCCCGCGCGAATTCCGTCATGCAGCCTCCGTATTCGCCCTTCATCTGTGGCGATCAATTCTCTTTCCATTGTACGTCTGTTGTTGACGAGACTGTCGGAACACGCAACGGTTTTTCTTTGGTCTCCAGGAACTGTGGATTAGGGGCCGGATGCAATGCCACCTCCGCTAGCGGGGCAACTATACATGGCCTGCCCCGCCGTTCTCTGAAAACTGCAACTGCGTGAAAATGATAATAAAATTGAATTTAGCAATCGTGTTAGAATGAGTCCTCATAATATCTATTTTTTTTAAATATGCCTCTCGATAAATTTACTCTTTGTGCAAACATCATACTTGTAATAGAAGATCGAGGTCTCAACCATCCATACAATTTCACATATCCAATCAGGAATATAAATTGATACTGCTATGGCTGTATGAATGGGTATTGCAGATGATTGAGATCTATGGGTTCTGGCTTGTGCTGTTGTGTTTCCGCTGCATGCTCTTGCTGTGTGTACTCCAGTTGTGGATTACGCGTTGCATGGTTCTGCTGCAGTGCATTCCCACAGCAAGGCCGCACAGCTAGGGCTCGCTTGGCCTCAGGCTGATAATCGTCTCCTGGAGATAATAGGGGGAGACAAAAACCTTGGTATTGAAATGACGATTGTAAAACGACCTCATCAACAGTCTCATCGTCACAGGGGAGATACGATTCAAATATATAGAATCAGAATCAGAATATTTACTAAACAACTAAAACCAGATATCATCATGCACATCACGGCATGTAAGGTTTATTTAAGCCTCTTATACTGGCAATCAAAGAACATGATTTTACTGGCCTTCTGCAACAACTAAAGAAAAACAAAACAAGGATGTAGGATTACACATAAAATGCTTGAACATTACAGACTAACGGGAATCAACAAAAAAGACATCAGCATGAGTCCAACGTCCAACGTCCAACATAAAATGCTTGAACATTACAGACTGACGGGAATCAACAAAAAAGACATCAGCATGAGTCCAACGCTCGTACTTACCCTCGCTCTCGTTCTCTGTCCCCATATACCAAACGTGCCATCTGAACTGGCGAGAATTCCGTGATACAGCCTTCGTATTCGTATTTCATCCGTCATGATCAATTCGCTTTGCAATCTACATGTATTGTGGACGAGACTGTTTGAATTCGGAACTGTCGATTTAACTGTCTCCGGGAACTCCGTACGAGGGGCAATGCCAACTTTTCTACATGGCCTGCCCCGCCTGTTTCTGAAATCTGCTACTGCGTTGAAATTTAAAGTAGCAACCATTAATGATGTTTCAATGAGCCCTAAACAGTATCTACTTAATTATTATGATTCTCGATATTTATATCTACTCTTGGTGCAAACATCATAATAAAACATGGAAATCTCCACCATCCATGCAATTTCACACACCCAATCAGGAACACATATTATAATTATACTACCAAACGTTATAGTTGCATGGATGCTTGCGATCTTAAATTTGTTAAAAATTAATATTACTTCTGCGCTCAGCTATATGGGAACGAGTTTAGTTATTTGACTGTTTTCTGAATTTGACCACTTTGTCGCGGGTCTGATCTTCTCACCTCCAACGGCTTAGAAGCTGCACCTGCGCCTTCACCCAAGAGGGTGGTGACATTCATGCGGATGCGGAAAATGCGAAGCATGGATATTTAAACGCAGTCGCGCTGAAAAACCCAGGTAATGCCACCGTAGAATACTCACACAAACATGAAGCTACCGAACCTACAGTGGAACAAAAACTAATTTTTTTGACAATACTTAACAAAATGAAGGTTTTCGGCAACTTGTTGCCGAAGGGTCCTTAACCCATATAAGCTGACAAAAACACGAGAATAGATTGCACTATAATGGACAACACTGAAACATCTGGCTATGGTGACTCATCCATAGGCTCTTCGTAGCTGATCACGTGCCACGCCGGTACTGGCGGCGGGAAGCCAAACCGCTGTTGCTGTATGTATAGTTCCTGCAGAATCTTCAGATCTGTGGGCTCTGGCTTATGCTGTTGTGTTGTCGCTGCATGGTCTTGTTGTGTGTACTGCTGCAGTGGATTATGCGGTGCGTGGTCCTGCTGCATTGCATTTTCACAGCGTGGCTGCAAAGCTCGGGCTCGCTTGGCCTCTGGCTGATACTCGTCTCCTGGAGATAATAGGCGGGGAGACAAAACCCTTAGTATTGAAATCACGATTGTAAAATTGCCTCATCAGCAGTCTCAACTTCACAGGGGACATACGATTCAAATGTATAGAATCAGAATAATTACAAAAAAAATAGAAGATGTCATCATACACATCATGGCAAGTTAGATTTTTTTAATCCTCTTATACGGGAAATCAAAGAACATGATTTTACTTGCCTGATGCAAAAACAAAAGCAAAAGCAAAACAAAGCAAGCACGTCGGATGACACAAGAAATTCTTGAACTGACATCAACAAGAAAATCATCAGCATGAGTGCAATGCTCGCACTTACCCTCGCTCTCACTCTCTGTCCCCGTATCTCTAGCGTGCCACCTTATCTTTCGAGTGGCGCGAATTCCACGATACAGCCTTCGTATTCGCATTTCATCCGTCGTGATCAATTCGCTGTCCAAGGTACGTGTATTATTGACGAAACTGTCTGAATTCGCAACCGTCGATTTACCTCTGGTCTCTGGGAACTCCGTGCGAGGGGCTGGTGGCAACGCCACCCTTTGTACTGACTCTGCTTTACATGGCCTGCCCCGGCTTTGTCTGAAATCTGGAATTGCGTTAAAATGATAATAGAATTGAAAGTAGCAACCATAAATGATGTTAGAATGAGCCCTCACCGTATCTATATTTTTTATGCCTCTCGATATGTGTGTCTACTCTTTGTGCAAACATCAAATAAAAGATCGAGGTCTCAACAATACATGCAGTTTCACACATTCAATGAGGAAGACACATAGCCTAATGAAAGTTTCAGTTGAATTCTCCTTTGCGTGGATTTTGCGATCTTGAATTTGTTTTAAAAATTTATTCGCTTCCGAACTCGGTTATCAGCAAACGAGATTGATGAATATTTAACCTAAGCACATCCCCCCCACAAGATTAATTAAATTGTAATGGAAGGTCATACGTACCTCTCGGATGATAAAACCGACATCTCTTCCCGAACTTGCAACCTCGCCGGGTGTTAAAATTACGGCAAAGTGGGACTTGCGATGGCTGCCGTTGTCCTTCCATCTTGAAAAAAAACAGTTCCACCACGTAACCAACTCGAAGAGCAGAGGGTCCTTACACAACAATTTTTTCTAGGTCCTTCCAGACCTTTTATACCCCGCACGATCTACGTTCGTTGACTTACACTGTGCATACCCTGTCCGACTTGTATTTCTCTACAACGTCGAATGCGTACCCAGACTCGAACACAGGTATTGTTCAATTAACGTATACAACTGGAAATAGTTCGATGCATGTATACATACCTAACCTAACGTAAGCTGACTGAGTGGCTGGAAGGCAAGAATACTAAAACCCGAATCTTACAGGCATGGCAAGGTTCCACCATTTAAATTGTTCTCTATTCCTTTTTAATACACTCTTGCTACCATTCTTAGACTATCCCCATCAGATAAATGAAAAAACGTAGCCGGCAGGACCTATCCAGAAGTGAGAACAAAAGTGGAGGGCGGGTGGGAAACTACAATAAAACGAGACAGAACACGATGAAGAGAAAAGTTTGAGAACACTAACAAAAACAGCTTACGCAGTCCTGGTGCCGTAACTAAGGTGAAAATGCTGGCAAAAAATACGTTTTTTGTTTCATTCACTAGGCACTGCCAACGTAAGATAGCACTTTCTGACCTGCACCGCTCTATCTTCTTCTTATTCTTTGTTTTTGGTGCCGTGACACCGAGATCTCAGGTCGGCAGAGTCATCAATGCCCCACCATCAATGCTGGGTTTCCGTACAGCGCCTGCTTATCAGTAGTCACGTTTGCCCTAGTCTTCGTACCATTGTCGCTCCATATTATTTTCGAGCTCGTTATGTGATCATAGTAAAAATAAAAAAGAATTAAAAAAAAGGTGCGGCACAATAGTAGCACGTAGCTATTCGATTCAGAGGGAGAATTCGATGGTCCGATCCGAAAGTCAGGAGTGCCCGACACAAACGCCGTCTAAGAGAAAGAACATTGACCAACATTGGTGTTAATACGGATACTAATGAAGTGGTGTATGCAAGAACTGAGTCGAGTGCATCAACATGACATGTTCGTAGTCACGTATTTATTGCACTTGCCATCTTTGAGCCACACACATTGTGAGGAAGGTCTTTTAGGGTCCTGGAATCGTGGTTTGACGGTGTAGTCCAATTGTCGTGCTAGTATCGTCGTCGACATGCATCAACATTCACAAAGGTCCTTCACAGCCGAGGCTCTTAGCTCGTGCTTGCCTTGGTTGTGCTCTCCGTCCCCTCCTATGTCGATCATAATAACTTAAACCCTTCTAAGCTGGAAGGCTGGAAGAGGGCCCATCCAAGATTTGCTTGAGCTGTTAGCCAGCTAGTTGTAGAACGTCGGAACAATCGGTCATGGTCATGTAATGTTATCGCATGAGCTGATTGTTTTGTAATTGGTGGTGTTTGTGGAAATTATAACTTAATTTGTATTTTTGTTCATACTTTTTTAAAGACCCAACTCGCAACAAACGGACAGTCCTTAACTACATCACGTACAAGAAATTGTCAACATTTTCACGCAGGCCTAATTACTATATTATTAGTTTTGAATTGTATCACCCCATGCTTTGTGTTCGCAATCATTTAGTATAAATCTGTAATGCACGTGCTTGTAAAAAAGGGCGAGGAGACAATAGTTTGATAATGGCCACCAGTAAAACAAGCTAAATCCACATTTGTGTATACGTTATTCGTACAATGTAAAACGTTAGAGACAATGTGCAATAAAACGATGAAAATAGAAAGAAATAGCGTGCTAACTTGTGCGTGAAGTGTGTGGGTTACAGTGAGGGCAGCGTCCCACCGGCCTGTGTGGATTCACGGGAAGTCTGAGTTACGAAGGCTGAAGAAAAAGTTGACCTGTCTCTGCTGGGATGACGAATACACCGTGGCTCAGTGGTTAGAGCATCGCTAGCTACAAGCAAGGATCCCTGGTGCGTGTCCTGGTGTGGACAGTCAATTTTTACTTCAGACTGTTCCCGTTTGTGTATTTCAGACAAACCGTTTTAATTCCCGTATCTATGCAGAAAACGTTACTTCAGTAACGTCTGGCGCTAGCCAGGGTCCACACAGCTTTAATTTGGTATTTGTGTGTGTGTTTATTTGTTTGTTTGTTTGTTTGTGTCACGCCTGGCGCTATCCGTATCTGACGGCAAAAAAGCATAGGATGTTATAAATTTTTCAATTCTCCTATTTTTTCAGGCATATCCTGGGATTCGAACCCGCACTATCGCCCTACATGCATTCCCCCATACACTTCGCATTCATACCCATTCTTCCAAGTTGCTTCACGTTATTATGTATATAATAACACATGGTACGGAGGGCATTATGGCTGATTTATGCCATAGTGCGTAGCCCGAGGTCGTGTACCGTAGCCCAAGGGCCGCAGGCCCGCGGGCTACGGTGCACGACCGAGGGCTACGCACTAGGGCATGCAATCAGCCAAAATGCACGACGCACCATGTGTTTATTATAGTTCATACATGCCACGTGCCTAGTTCTAGACAAAATAAGGTAAACATGGTCAAGGGAGGAGGAAGGTTCCAATCAGCTGTCATATGAATGAAGGGTCGAACAAGATCGGAAGGAGCTTTCTCCGTGGAATGATAGAACGTTTTTGTGTCAGATTTACTTGCAGTTCCAGGAATATGTCTTTGCATTTTGGTGTTAGTGTTGCCTGTTGGGCGGTACGAAAGTTAGCTGATTCGCTGCTGCTTTGGAGTTAACGTTGACCGCAAACATCCTTGACCAAGTGGCACTAGTAAATAGACTAGCTTTGAGAGTACATTGTAAGTGTTCTTTTTCGAAACAATGATACTTTTTCACACAAATGTACATCTGAGATTTTGTTCGCATTGCTTTCTGTTTACTTGAGGTCCATATGTACACTGGACAATCATGTAGCTAGGTACATTTGAAGTATATGTACATGTAGATGTAACTGTATATTTTGTAGGAGTTCGAGATTCAATCTGATCCCTTCCAGATAGGTAACTTTGTGATGCATGTTCACCTGTCGACTTATTATTATTATTATTTGCCTCTCCGCGTTTGCATCAGGGTGTGTTACTACAAAAATCAACAAATCGACATAATACACATCCACCCCTAGCATTCGCTCAGGCCGCTCAACAAGTCAAAAGACAATAAGGACAAGAGAAAGCGAGGGAAGGGTCACAGAGCAGCGGGGTCGAAGGCAGGAAAAAAGAAACAGGAGGCAAAGGATATTGAAGAAATATATCAGATTGTCCATTGAATTCACCATACATCATGTCATGTTCCGTTTGGGCAAATCTGGGCATTCCTCTGCAGGCTCAGGTGCGGAAAAGCTGCCGCCATACTGCTCTGTCCTCTGTCAGGTCCCTGATGTGTGAGAGATCTTTATCCGTCTGCAGCTTCATTCCCTTTGTTGCGAGGTCCGTTCTCAGTATTGTCGGGAGTGTGGAAGGCGGCCGGCCACGGAATTTTTTCTCCTCCTTTGTTTGCCGGAAGTATGATGTCATAGCCATTTGTGCTGGGGACTCCTTGTCCAGTCTGCAGATGTGACCGAGTAGTCGCATCCGAGCAGCTTTAACCAGGACAGTTAGGGGCTGTGTCTCTGTTCTGCGGTGGAGGTCATCGTTGCTGATTATCTGTGGGTAGCGGATACCCACAACAACTCTCAGGTGTCTCCGATATGTCGAGTCAAGAGTACACAGCTGAGAGTCTGAGAGGCCCCATGTGCCTGCGTTGTACATCAGCAGAGGCTTGATGAAGGCTTCGTAGAGCCTCACCCGTAGCTTTTCGGAGACCAGATGTCCGCGTGACCACAATGGCCACATCTTGTTGAATGTGCCCGAAGCAATCTGGATTCGGCGTGCGACATCCTCTTTGTCTCCAATAAGGGATCCAAGCTTGCGTGTGCGCCTCCACTCTTCCTCCACTCGGTCCTTCTTCCTCTGGATAGTAGTGCGTTCTGTTTTGGCTTGGTTAACTTTCAGGTCCCAGTCCGCGAGGCAGTCGCCAACAATAGGAAGGATCGAGTCCAGGTACTCAGAACTGGTGCTGACGAAGTCCACATCATCGGCATAACCTAGGGACGGCGGCAGGTTGAGGGTGATGTCTAGATTAGGTCGAGGTGGAATACAGGAGAAAACATGGCGCAGTGCAGTCTCGAGGTAGATGATGAATAACACGGGTGACAGCGAGTCACCTTGTGGGGTGCCAGATGTTGTTGCAAATGGTCGGCTTTGGGTATTTTTGATGCGTGCTGATAGTGTTGTATCTGAAACCAGGAGCTGGACCAGGCGCACCTCATCTGGCTCCAGGAATGACCGCAACACATTGACGAGTTTCCGGCGACTAATAGTGTCAAAGGCGCGAGACATATCGATACCCAGAATACTTATACTGGACTGCAGGTGCTGGCAGCGTGCAGCGATCCATCGATGAGCCCATACTACATCTGTAGTGCTTCTATTCGGTCTGAACCCACTCTGCATTTGCGATACATAAGCTTGAACTCGGGGGGTTATTCGTGCTAGAACCACTAAAGAAAGTACCTTGCGCAGGGCATTGAGCAGAACAATGGGTCTCAGACTACTTCCCGGGCCTCTTGGTTTTCCTGGCTTCTGCAGCGGGATTAACTCGCCACTGCCAAGTGTCAGGTGTTGTCCTGTCTCAACGCACATGGTGTACAGTTCGGCAAGATATGTGAAAAGGCTGTCAGGCGCATATTTGAATAGTTCTGCTGGGAGTTTGTCTGGCCCAGGTGACTTGTTGTTCTTTAGCCGTGCTGCTGCTCTCCTCACTTCGATCGTCGCGATTGGCTTTTCCATTTCGCCCATGTTATAGTCAGCCATGCTCAGTCTCTCTTGGTCGCTATTTGAGAGAGCAGCGTGGAAGTGCTCTGCTATCTTTTCAGCCATTTCCTCAGGTTGGACTATTAGCCGGCCATCTTGGTCAGCCACAACGGCCTGCTTGGTTCTGTTCTTGTGTAGCTGTTGTACAGCTCTGAACATTCGGGCATCATCCTTCAGCTGTTCGATCTCTGATACTTTTCTGTCTAGGTCTGCAGA